GCTCTGATTTTTCCATTTACATTTTTCCTTACATAAATAAATAAAAGTACAAAATAAAGTACAAATCTTGAGTTTTATTTTAAGCTCTGATTTTTCCATTTACATTTTTCCTTACATAAATAAATAAAAGTACAAAATAAAGTACAAATCTTGAGTTTTATTTTAAGCTCTGATTTTTCCATTTACATTTTTCCTTACATAAATAAATAAAAACCCCTAATATTCACTGTTACATTTTGAGGACCTTTTTACTTAGCAGTTTTTCTTTAGAAAAATTAATGCCTGCTTTCTCAGGAGACAAACAATCCCGTTGAATGGGAACCTATTGACAGCGCAGCGCTGGTATGTGGGGGTCTGAGCGGCTCCGACAGAAATAATATTGGAAGGCAGGATGAACTGACTGCACTGATTAAGTTTTCAGGTGGATTTTCTCACTTAAAAACATAATAAAACTACTTTATTCCCACTGATCACAGCGAATATAGCTGCAAGGCAAATAAAGGATAGAGTAGCTCCGCCCAACGCGTCAGAGCCACTTTTCGACCACGCAGCCAGAGCAGCAAAGCTGCTTCAGCTGCGCGTCAGAAGCTGGTACAAGCAGCAAAAAGGAAGCAGCAGACGCGATTTTTGCTGCTCCTGCTGTGTCCAGTTTGAAAGCAGCATGATTCACTCCGCTCTGGCTTTGCTCCGCCCACGGGCTGCTGAGAGGAGGATGGTCGCGCTAGCTGCGGGCCGCTCTTCTTGCAGTCAAACATCAAGGAACTTTCTGCTCTTAAATTGTTTCCGTGCACGATGTATTGCATTGCGCACTACTGGCATCAGTCTTAAAAAAGTGACTGATGCCAGTAGTGCGGGGGGGCATTTTAAAGGGGTTCCACGACGCTGCAACCAGTTCACAACAGATACACATGAACCCTGGCTGTAGGCGTGACCACCTGAGTATTTTTTCTGGATGACGCAATCACCTTAAGTGTTACAGCCAATCACCAAAACTTGGTACCGAAAGACGAGGCATGTTTCGATACTTTGTAGAACCGAAGCATTTCGGTCGGTACCATAAAAGAACCGAAGTTCGGTACCCAGCCCTACGTGCATGGCAGTTGGATGTTGGAATACATCGGGGACAAAAAAAAATAAAAAAAGAGAGTTATTTCCCCTTTCCAATTCCTGATCCATAGTGCACTTGTCGTCATCATCATGGGCGATAGCAGGTTGTGACAAACACCAGATACAGCACTGGGACTTGATCAACAGCCGATACCGCACTGTGACGTCACAAACCAGTAGGTGGCAGTAGTGTTCTTTGACAAACATGGATGCCTCCAGTAAAGCACATTCACATGATTACTATTAATTAAAAACACTGATCATTTATTGAAAAGTATGTAATCATTTCATATTTAAGGTAC